CCTTGGGCCAGTCCTTCTCTCTCAGCCCTAGGAAGGAGGCAATGGCAAACCACTTCCGAAAAACCTTGCCAAGAAAACCATAGGGACGTGTCCAGGTAGTTGCCAGGAGTCATAAACTGACTCAGAGGAATAAAAAAAAAAATCATATTAATGTTAACTGATTGCAGTTTCCGTGATTTACCCTGTCAAGGTACTTGTTGAGTTGAAAATGAATGGGCTGGAGAGATGTACAGTCAGAGGGTTTGAATAGAGATGAAAAAGATGAAGAAATTCAGATGGAATTGAGTTGTTTCTTGTTGCTACTAAGCACATATCATTAATTTCAGTACTAATGTACCACTTAATTTAAAAAAAACAAAAATATCTTCTTTCCCTGGCTGAAGCAGCAAAACTTTCTACCTTCAAGTTTATTCTAGAAGGCTATTGAACTTCTAGAATTAAGCTGCCAAGGAAAAAGAAAATCAGTAGCTGCAAGCTAATTGCATTCCTTTGGACTTATTTCCCCAAGCCCATTTCATAAAAGATCGCTTCCTCCTTAGCACAAATACTGTTCAACAGCTTTGCTGATGCTGGAGAAAGGACAAGGTGACAATTCAGTCAGGAGAAGGCAAGAGCAGCAGAAATGTTACATGTGGTCCTGAGACAAGCTTCCCACCAGTTCTGGTCTCAGGAGCTCATTATTTGACTAAGAATCTAAGTGAGCAACACCTACATTGGCCAGAACAGTAAAGACTGCCAAGATTATAGTTCCCAAACCTTATTTCTTTATTTCACACATTTATAAGGCCATCCAACTCAAGCAATGTGACCCTTGGCACATCAACAAAAATAAACAGTGACAAAAATAACCCGATGTCATTAAAAAACACCCCAATATCTAAAATGGTGAACCAAACAAGATAATTAAACAACTAAAAGGGGACTCTGCTCAACTGGACATTTATTGGGAATTGTCTTTGCACCTACATGGCAGCTGTGCAGTTATCTAGAACCTCTGCTGGGGCTGCAAGGCACAAAACCAGGCTTGTGTTTTAATGCATTTGCCAACAGGAACAAGCTCTCCAATATCCCAGACCAGCTTTCCCCAGTTCCAGATCTGGGCTCTCAACTTTCAGAATTATTCATCCAGAATGTCCATGGTAAGGAATTCTGGTAGTTGAAGTCCACACATCTGGAGGGTGTCCAATCTGGGGATGGCTGGCCTCAGCAACCCTCACAAGTTGGAGGTGCAATCCTCAGCTTAAGAGAGAGCTTACCATAAGTCTCCGTGGTGATTCGGCGCTGAGCATAAGTGGCCAGCCCCTCGCTCAACCACATCTCTTCCCAGGTGGCATTGGTGACTGCATTGCCAAACCAGCTGTGGGCTACTTCATGGATGACATCAATGATGAGAAATTCATCGCTCTCCAAGATGGAAGAGATAACGAAGGTCAAACATGGGTTCTCCATGGCTACAATAGGGAACGAGGGAGGAAGAAAAACAATGTCGTACCTGGAGGTGAGAGGAGGGAGCGAGAACCCAGATCAATTTTAGAACCTTGAAGTCATAATTCTCAAAGCTGAGACAGACAGACAGACATAGATATGTAGACATATATACATAAAATTCCCCATAATTTATTGAAACAGTAATAAAAGGAAAAAGGAAGGGGAAAAATCAGGGTTGGGTTAACGTCACTGGAGAACGACTGCTGCGCATCAGGTATCATTTGTGATCCAAATGTATCCTGCTTCTCCTCCACATCCTGTTAGTAATCCTAACCAAGTAGCTTAAGGTGAAAGGCAGGAACTGGTTTTGCGGCTAAATATGAAATATGATTCTTCTACCCACCTGAGATGTCTCTGGAATTAATTTATAATGTCATTCCCTATTTCTACCACTTTCTACTTATCCTGGGGAAATAAATGAGTGCTGCAGTTCTGCATCACCAGTAGATTTTTTTCCCCTTCCTTGCTCCTTCTCTTGAGATTATTAAGAGAAATTAGCAGATTTGTTTTTATTCTTGAGCTCATTGTAACTGTTTGAACACAAAGTCCAAGGAGAGACTCGGCATTAGCTTCTCATTTTCCAAATATGTTTCTGCAATCATATTGGGTTTGGCTTTGGGGTCCTTCATGATGGCTTACTCTGGCATTTGGTATTTACATTATCTCCTCTGGCTTAAGCCCAACCAGGATGGGATTCAGAGACCTTCTGACAGCTCCTGGACAGGATGGTACACCAGATGGTCTAGAGAGTTTTGCTGATGACCCCTTTTTGACAAGAACAGATGGTAAGTTGAGCTTCTGAAACAAGATCAATACATCCATTTTGACTCTAGTTCTTATTTTTCCCTTAAAATGATGCTTAATCCATCCCGTGGTTCATCCTGGGCAATTAAAAATCAAGGGCAGCCCTGTGCCTTATAGCCTCTCAAGCCCTAACTTGACAGGTCCTCATGCATCCTCCCACACATCCTCTTTATCTTTGTAAGCTGGTAGTAGAAACAGTCTGCCAATCCAATGCCAGGGATTGCATACTGAAGGGGAAAAACTCCCCCAGACGCAGCTGATGAGTGGAGACCACAGTCTGCTTGAATCAAGTTTGCTGTGCAGGGGACAGAATACAAAATCGGGCCCACTGAGGGAAGGAAGAGACAAAAAGTTCATATAATGGTCTTGTTTACAGGGAAAGGACAGTATGACACACACACACACACACCCAGTGACAGAGCCCACCCAAACCCATTTTCCTAGCAACCTAGTATTTTTAGCCCTTGATTTGTTTACTCAGCAAGCCCTGAGTAACAGTCAGGAGTCGGCAAGGGGTCTACTTCCTCTTCTCCGGTACACAGGCCCTGAGTTTGCAGTTTCAACCCCTACCTGTAATGTACAGGTAGTCTTTGAGTTATGATAGCAATTGGGAGCGGGATTGCTGTTCCTAAGCAATGCGGTCATAAAGCGCGATGTCACATGACTGAATCGCTTGGCAACAGCAATCCATGCAATCCAGGTTGCCATCGTAACCCCAAGACATGCAAATCGTTAAACAGGAAGCAGAGGGAGTCCCAGTTAAGGAGTGCGGGAGTACCCCAGGGGGGTGCCACGGGGGGTGGGGGAGGCCTGGTGCAGGCCGTGGGCGAGTTGGGGGAGTGATGCAGAGTGGAACAAGCGCAGGGAGCCCAGGGTGTGGGATGCGTTTGTGCAAGCACAGGAAGGCTCAGAGAAGGAGGGTGCTGGTAGGTGCGTACGTGTGTATGAGTGCAGAGAGGCGGGGAAGGCAACCACGTTGTGCATGAGCAAAGAAAGGCCAGGGGGGTGGAGGAGACTTACCCAAGCAACTTGTGATCTTCCCTGCCACCTTCCCCATTGACTTTGCTTGTGGGAAGCTGGTAGGGAAGGTCACAAATGGTGATCACATGACCGGGGATGCTGCAGCCAGTCGTAAGTGAAAGCTAGTTGCCAAGTACCCGAATTTTGTTCATGTGACCACAGGGGCGCTGCAATGGCTGGAACTTCGAGGACCCACCATAAGTCCCTTCATTCGGTGCCATCATAACTTCGAACAATCACTGAACAAATGGTCGTAACTCAAGGGCTACCTCTTTTTGTATTTTATATTCTCAAGCATTAGGCTAAGCACTGAAGCATTTCTGTAGTCATTTTGGCTAGGCCAAACTGTTTTATAGGTAGTCCATGCTTAACAACCACAATTGGGACTGGTTTTTGCTAAGCGATTGTTTGCTAAGAATGTGGTTGTTAAGCAAATCATCACGTGACCAGACCCGATTTTATGACCTCTTTTGTGGTGGTTAAGCAAATCACCGTGGCCATTAAGTGAATCAGCATGGTCGTTAAGCAAATCACATGGTCATTAAGTGAATTGTGCAGTTCCCCATTGATTTTGCTTGCTGGAAGCTGACTGGGAAGGTCACAAATGACTCCACGATGCTGCAATCATCCTAAGTACGAGCTGGTTGCCAAGCACCACGATCACATGACCACAGGGGCTCTATGATGGTCATAACTTTGGGCACTGGTCATAAGTCACTTTTAGCGCTGTCATAACTTTGAATGGTTGCTAAATGAATGGTCATTAAGTGAGGACTATTAGTTATTTTTTCCTTCAATAGTTTCTCCTTTCTGTAAACACCTATGATAAATCTTGTGAGTAAATACAGGACTTGCTTGAGCTGAGCTCAAATCCTGGTAATGACATGGACATGGCTATGTACTTTTTATGGGCAAAGTACGGACATGGTTAGCCTAGGTCGACTTTGGGGAAATTTTTTCAACTTTCTAGCTTAGCCCTGAGATACCCCGGTGGTCTCCCATCCAACTATTAACCAGGTCCAACTTTGCTTAGATTTTTTTTTAGATCAGCCAAGACTGACAAGGTACTGCCTACTGCTGGACATTTCCTTGTAATCTTTGCTGATGTCCCTATTTTGCTTAAAGGTATCGTGCGTGCTCTGCTATGTACAGAAGACAGTTCTGTGAAAAAACCTATTATTACCTGTATTCTTAAGCATGTGTGAATATTTGCAAGTCTGTGTGAAAATATATAAAAACATTCTGTCATCAGCCTCTGTTTCTAACCAAGATGAAGAAATGTGTATTGTGGCATCGTAACACAAACTCTGCCTTTTTCAGCCTATGTTGTGAGTCACACACAAACACATAAGGGACAGAATTTGCACCCCAACATTCATTTCATCACGTTCCCCCCAGCAGACACCTACAGTGGGGCAAAAAAGTATTTAGTCAGCCACCAATTGTGCAAGTTCTCCCACTTAAAAAGATGAGACAGGCCTGTAATTTTCATCATAGGTATAGTTTGTAGGTGACCAAATACTTATTTTCCACCATGATTTGCAAATAAATTCTTTAAAAATCAGACAATGTGATTTTCTGGATTTTTTTCCCCATTTTGTCTCTCATAGTTGAGGTATACCTATGATGAAAATTACAGGCCTCTCTCATCTTTTTAAGTGGGAGTTTGTAGGTGACCAAATACTTATTTTCCACCATGATTTGCAAATAAATTCTTTAAAAATCAGACAATGTGATTTTCTGGATTTTTTTCCCCATTTTGTCTCTCATAGTTGAGGTATACCTATGATGAAAATTACAGGCCTCTCTCATCTTTTTAAGTGGGAGTTTGTAGGTGACCAAATACTTATTTTCCACCATGATTTGCAAATAAATTCTTTAAAAATCAGACAATGTGATTTTCTGGATTTTTTTCCCCATTTTGTCTCTCATAGTTGAGGTATACCTATGATGAAAATTACAGGCCTCTCTCATCTTTTTAAGTGGGAGTTTGTAGGTGACCAAATACTTATTTTCCACCATGATTTGCAAATAAATTCTTTAAAAATCAGACAATGTGATTTTCTGGATTTTTTTCCCCATTTTGTCTCTCATAGTTGAGGTATACCTATGATGAAAATTACAGGCCTCTCTCATCTTTTTAAGTGGGAGTTTGTAGGTGACCAAATACTTATTTTCCACCATGATTTGCAAATAAATTCTTTAAAAATCAGACAATGTGATTTTCTGGATTTTTTTCCCCATTTTGTCTCTCATAGTTGAGGTATACCTATGATGAAAATTACAGGCCTCTCTCATCTTTTTAAGTGGGAGAACTTGCACAATTGGTGGCTGACTAAATACTTTTTTGCCCCACTGTATGTGTGCTGTAACAGCCTCCTTGGTGAACCAAACCAAGCTTACCTGCCCCATATATAGGGACCATAGAGGCTCTCTGCAGCACTGAGCCAGTGCTCCACTCGACCGGAGAGTTTGCCAATAGCTGTTGACAACAGGCATGGCTCTGCCCACACTTTGCTCCTGTTGCAAAGAAGGCAGACAAACAACAGAATTCATGCTGGGCCCAGTACTCATTCTGCAGTCTTGCTGTGAAGATGCAAACTGACACCTAACTATACCTTCTAAAGAAAGTTCATGATCGTCCAATATTGGTCATCCAGAAAAGCAACTCTGGTGAGACATGCCTTGCAGCAGAGCCAATCGGCAACAGGGACACTGCAGGGGTCAGATCTTACGTTTGCTCACGTCTGCAGGTGAGCAGGACTATTGTCCTGATCTGATCTGATACCTATGGCTTTCCACAAGTTGTTGAACTACAGTTCCCAGCAACTCATAAATGTACGGCCCCATTTATTCAATGGATAGGAGACCTGACTGCACTTGCCATTTATGAGCGGACTGCCTACAGATGTCGTCTTTGTATGGACAAATATAATGATATATGGGATTCATTTATACAAAATACACTGGGTTAAAGAAAATGACAGTCATATAAATGTCCTGGAAATATATATGCGTTTGAATAATATCTGCATTAAATAAATATATATATAGACATGTGACTACTTACTATATAATGGTATACTATGCTAAGTTTTTGTTTTGTTTGTTTGTTTTTTGTTCTTTTAATTTTTGTCACTTTTTTGTAATACTACCTTCTTCTTGTGTATTATTATTTTGTGTTTTTTTCCTTTTGGTTATTAATTAAAAGCAATACAAAATTATATATAAAAAAAGTTGAATTACAATTCCCAGCAATTCCACCAAGCACGGGGGTAAGGTATGGCTTAGCAGTATCCCTGCCTTCCACCAACACTGCTAAATCAGACAAGAGTGCCTTACCTAGGACCAATGTCTGCAGCTACAAGATCCCCAGCCACCAGAGCCACGAGGTAAGCAGGAATGGGGTATTCCATGTAGAACTGGTATATGCCCTCTTCTTCCTCATAGGTACTTTGGGTAGCACTCATTAACACCTGCATACCTGCAGGGGCCTGGAAAAAAGGAAGAATCTTCTAATGACTGACAAAAGTGTGAGGAATATCCATTATATCTACTCTAAAAACATGAATTGGACCATGTGTCCTAGCAACCTAAATTCTGTTCTGAAGAAAGCTTGCTCATGCATCAGTTGTGCAGTTAAGTGCTGTTATGATGCTCAAATCCCATGCCCAATCCTAAAGTGGATCCTACCACCTCCCTGGGATCAGAGGCTTCAACAGCAGCATTTGACGTTCTGAGATCAAGAGGTGGGCTACCAGAAATAGCTTACTGGAAGGAGCAGGGTATCCCATTCACAAAACGGCTACCACAGGGGATGTGATTAATCACAAAACAGCCATTTATAAAAACAATTAATTGATATTAGAACTGAAAAACTAGTGTTACTAGAACCAAGGCTCATCTGATGAAACCGAACAGTGGGAGCTCCAGGAAGGACAAAGAAAGTAACAGTATGGAGTTTGCTTTCTCCGAATGAGGTGATGACCACCAGGGGAAATGATTTAGAAAGAGGATTGGGAAAATTCGTGGTGAAAAAGGCCTGCTACTGGTTGTAAGAGCTCCTGGATCAAAGGCAGAATTCAAAGACTGCTCAATTCTGGCTGTTACTGAACATGATGTTCAGGCCCTGCTTGGGGTCTGATCAAGTCTGGCTCTTCTTACATTCTTGCGCTAAGAAAATTCCTTACCTTGACAACTGCAGAGTAGGTACATTTCACAGCTGGCGTGTCAAAACAAGGGAAGAAGGAGCGGTTGCACACCGAATGGCCTTGGGTGAAAACAAACGGCTTGGAGTTGCCATAGGTTAGCTCAGGATCCAGCCACCAGATCTGACAGCAACATAAAGAAGGAACACATGAGAAACAAAACAAATCATTGTACTTGTACTCTCTAATATCATCCCCAGCCAGTAGTGCTATCGATACGTTAACTGAAGATGGGATTTAGTCCAAGGGCTGGCTGGCGGGGAATGATGGGAATTTTAGTCCAATTCACCTGGGGGCAGTGATTTGGGAAAGGCAGCCTTAGAGGAGATTTGCTGAGATCATCAAGGCATCAGGCAAGCGAGTCTGATTCATGAAACTGTGGAATGGGTCTTCCAGAGTTACAGCCTATCTTCCCTAGGGCTCATCACGCACATAAAGGCATCCTTTACCCAGTGTGCTATATCCTTTCAAGGGAACATGCAAAGTTCAGAAGGACAAATGAAATTAAAGGCAGGATATAAGAAAACAAGAGAAGGAAACTGAACTAAATCCAGTTTACACCAACAATATTCAGTATTCACTATACTTCTCTAATGTCAGCATCACTCACTATATCTTTCCAGGGACTTGAAACCTCGAGGAAACATATGGATTTCCCTTTTTTTCCCAGAAAGGTAAAGCCAGGAAAACAACTCGAAAGAATGAAAATAACTAACTGAGAGCATGCGGTTCTTTAAAATTACTCATGTTACTCTTCTTTTAATTGGGTACGTGTTTTTGATTCTTTAGCATTTACGGAACTGAAATGTAGCTATAAGCCTTGTAAACAATCATTACACTGTGGCGCAACTCATGCAAATTACCTAACTGCCTTCTGTG